TTTATCTACCTGTAAGAAAAATTAAGGAGTTTTTACAAAATAAATATCAAACAGTTTTCATCTTATTTATTTTAAAAAAAGTAAAACGTTGAACTGCTGGTCCAAATATATTTATTCTTACTTTAACATAGCCAGTTATGGGTAATTAAAAATATTCTTTGTGTTGTTGTTGTTTTTGTTTATTGCAATACGGATACAAAGTATGAAAAAAAGTTAAACACAAGTTAATTATACGCGCTCATCAGCACTTAATGGAAAATCGGTATCATTAATTCACATGGTTTTACTAATAAAGTCAGTGTGACTTTTGGCACTGCATTTCTTCAGCCAATTTTTCGTAGTTGGGAGAGTAGGATGATATTCCCGTTTGTAAGCAATTGTCAAGATGGGTATCTGTAAGCTGAGATCTGTATTTTGATTTTATGATGTTCATTGTTGAAAACAGAACTTCATATAGATAAGTGGAACCAAAATAAGATTTTATTTTGTATGCTACATTTTTTAAGGCAGGAAACTTTTTTCAGTCAACCAGATTCCAAAAGTTTTCATCTGTTGCGCAGGATTTTAGAACAATATCATTTTTGAAGGTCCAAAATCTCCAGTTCCATGTCTTCTGTTCTTACTTGAATGAGACTTCCAATTGATGTAGCTATTTATTACCTCTATTTGGCAAGTAAAAGGATTCACAAGGAAGGCAACTACAGGCTCAATGATGGTGAACTGTTGAAATCTCTTTTCAAATTGTTCCAGAAGTGTTTGAATGTGGATAACAAATGGTGATGGGTTAAAATCACTGTCACATACCATTTTCCTTCATACTTGGGAAATGTTCAAGAGACTTCGTCTTCATATGTGACATCCACAAGATCAGTTTTGCTTTGAATGATTTTACGGCACCTATCATTTGAGCCACATGTTTGTCTTTTCCTTGGAGCTCAAGATTTAAAATGTTCAATTTGTCAGTGATGTTGGCAAGAAAAGCCAAGTCCATTAATCAGCTGGAGTCTTCTAGTTGCTCGAAGTTCTGATTTGTGGACTTCAGAAATTCTTTGATCTCTTCAATTAGGCTTAAAAAACGTGCCAGAACTTTACCTTTGCTCAGCCATCGTACTTCTGTGTGCAAGATAAATCAGATTGTTTATCAACATCTTCCACCAAGGCCTTAAAGTCGGTGTTCCAAAGGTTTTGCTCGAATAGATTTAATTATTTTAATAACTACATTCACGACTTGCTGAAAAGAGAACTTTGACTTACAAAGCTTCTTGGTGGATAATGCAATGATCAGACATAAAGTTTGGAAAGGATTCATTCTTCTTACAGAGTGCAATGAATCCATTGGCGCTGCCCATCATAGCAGGTGCCCCATCAGTGGTGATTGCAGACAGCTTGTGTAGTGGCATACTAATTGATGTTGCGTATGATTTGAATAAATTATAGATGTCCTCACCCTTTGTTCGCCCTTTTATAGGCACTACTTTTAGTAACTCTTCTTCTACGGTGAAGTCACTAAATACCATCCTCACCATAACTGCCAACTGCACTTTATCCGATATATCTGTCGACTCATCGAATTGCAGTGAAAACCAGTCACGTATTTCCAAGTCATCCTTTAGCTGAGTTTGCATGTATCCTCCTCGTAATTGTGTTGTCTGATAACTGCAAGTCTTGTATTGCCAACAAAATCTCACCCTTGTTAGGAAATCCTTGAAACAGGCAATCAGCGCCAGTCAAAAATGCTTCCTTCAACAATTCACCATCTTGAAAAGGTTTTTTCTTCTTTGCGAGCAGATGAGCAATTTTAGAGGAAGCAATAGTAGCACTTTTAGACTTTACCACTTGTCTAGTGAAAACAGATTGCTGGGCAGATAGGTTTGATTTGATTAATTTCCTTCTTTCTCAACTCAGATTTAAGTGGATGGCTAATGTCAAAAGAGCTGTGATTAGTTTGGAAATGGCGTTCAACATTGTTTTTTCGGCACTGCAACAGCACCCCCACACAATAAGCAAACACATTTCCCTTTATTTTCAATAAAACAATAGGATTCTTCCCACTCTGCATTGAAATAATACGTATGTTGTCTTTTATTTGAACCACTCGTTTTGGGGCAAAATGTTAAAAATAAATAAACTGCAAAGCACAAGAAAATAGCCGTATCAGTGCAGGAAGAATACTCACATACAGGGCCGGCTCCAGGCACCAGTGGAGCAAGCATGTGCCTGGGGCAGCACATGCTACGGGGTGGCATTCGGTCCATTCTGCAGAGGCAGAACGTTGTTTTTTGGGGGGGGGAAGGGAGCGGGAGGGCGGCAGTTCTGGGCAGTGCTGAGAGAAGCTGCGAGGACAGAACACTGGCGCCTGCAGCTTGCAGCCCCGGAATACTCTGTCCCCAGCAGGTACGGGGCCCTGGCTTCTCTCCCCTGCTGGGCACTAGGCGGGCTAGCCCCGCGCCTGCCAGGGATAGAAAACACCAGCGCCTGCAGCCCCGGAGTTCTCTGTCCCCGCAGCCGCGGGGCCGCGGCTTCTCTCCCCTGCTGGGCACTAGGCGGGTGCACATAAATGCCCCGGTGGGCGCCATGGCGTCTGTGGACACCGTGTTGGGGACCACTGCTCTAGAGAGGTGATGTTATACTTGGGATTAATAAAGACTGACCAGGTGATCAGATCTCGTGTATTTGGTGTGGTCTCTTGACTATTTGAATCTTGGTAGTGTGTTGACTCAAATAACTTTAGACTTATCTCTCAACAGATGCATGTTCCTGGTCATGCTGGCTTTACAGGAAATGAAGCAGCTGATAGACTTGCAAGAGAAGGAGCTGGAAAACAAAACTCCTAGCATGCTATCGTGACTAGAAAACTTCATTCTTGCTAACTAAAGACTGTTTAATCCATAAGACAGACTCTCTTTTCAGTATGAAAACTTCCTGTTGGAATTGTACAAAATAAATTAATTTAAACTTTGTTATAACTATTTCTGGTTTAAAAGTTTTAAATATATGCTGTCCTGTATAAACACACCTACTTTTTTAGGGTGTTCAGGTTACTTGGTTAATCACTGCTTTGTTGGTAGAGGCTTGTTTAACAATTAACTGAACATTCAAATATTGGTAAAAGAAAGGTGTCCAGTGTTTTTAGTCCCAGTTTCCACAGTGCCTGTTAAGAAATTTTTTTAGACATTCCATAACTGAGATAAAACTTTGGGTTTTACAAAGTATAATAGTTTCAAAAAGTTTATGAAGGAAAATATGTTGCAATCTGAATGCTAGACAGATGTTTTCCCTTTACCAAGAGTATTGAAATAAATTTAAACTTGAGATGTTTGATGTTGTTATGTTTATACGCACATAGTGTAGAAAATACCAAAGTGCAATGGTAATTATTTGAACTGCATAATCCTATATAAAACAACTTCCCCAACTGCACCTCCTCAAATGATAAGTATTTATTTGTATGTTTGCTTGTAAGAGTATTATGGATGTAAATATCTGTTTAAAAAAGTTAACCGGTTAAATGATTGAAATTATATCATTTGACTGGTTAACCATTAACCCAGGTCGCTCAGGCGGGCAGGGGCTGGGGTCCTGGTGGGGCTGCGGGCCTGGGCCCCCCTCCAGGCTGCCGAGGCCGTCCACTACGACAAGAGCTGGGGTCCCTCCAGCCCAACATGGATCTATGTGGCCGACCCAGCATGGCCAGCCAGCTGCCATAATAAACAGTTATGGTCTGGTTAACGGTAAGTCTAATGCTTACCGGTTAACCTTTTACATCCTAAAGAGTATCCGTATAAGCTTCTGTAAAGTGTTTGTTCGTCCAGACTTGCAGAGGTAACAATCACAAGCCAGGCTGCAGGGAAGCACTAGACATGCTTCCTTTTCCAGCCACTTGAATTTCAAGTCCTCTGTAGACTTTGCTTCCAGCTTCTTCCTGAAGCAACTTCTGACTGGCCCCTTATCAGCTACTGCCATCACAAGATGGGCTCCTGAGTGACTTTACTGAAAAACGGCCATGTTGACTGTTGCATTGTCTTACACCTGTTCACTGAGAGTGACGGTTTCACACTCAAATCCATTTGCATTCTGGTGACTTTCATGCTGGTCAGAGTCTTCCCTACCTATAACCGTATGGTCTGACATACTACTTAATTCCTGCTTTTTTTGCCTGCTTTTGCGAACTTCCTGTGCCACGTTTATTTGAGTTCCCACTGTTTTTTCTGCCCCTGCTCCTCTAGCACCACCATGCTTTTCAAGTTATTTTGCTGCTTTCTTTTTCCTTCTTAATCCTTTGTAATTTTTGTTCTGTTTCCCTCTCCCCTATACCTGTCCCATTCTTCTTTCCCTATGAAGAAGAATTTAACACATTATACTCTGGTCCTTGTCCCGACATGCTCACCCCCTCTCTTGCGGCATTGACATATGTTAACCCCATTCCAGCCTTATTTCTATTCTTTTCTCTCTTTACCTATGATCTGATTCCGCTGCCGTCATTCCAGTTGATTTCCTTTCTTTCAGTCCCGTTCCAAACATGCTTTACTGCTCACAATCTCTTTATATATTGCTCTCTACCTTCAGCTCAGTTTTCATGGCCATTCTTCCATACCGGCCTCCTTTTTTTTGCCCATATATCTTACCCTCTTAAGATGCTCTTGTTTCTAGCCCCTTCCTGTGCCAGCTTCCCACACCTTTTCTCCCTCCCCCTCCCCCCTTTAAGTGCAGTCTGACTCTTCACCTCCCTTGGTGGAATCCTCCATCCCAGCCTACCTTCACTTCCTGACTCTCCCCCGTTTCCCCTATATTATATGATGCTATTTAGGTTTCAGTTTGATGTTCTGACGCTAAAGCTTTTCCCCTCCTTTCCTCTTCCTGACATTCAGTAGTGTACTGATGCTTAGCCACCAACTCAGTCATTCACTTGAAGTGTTTTGACCATTGCCACTTTTCCTGGGCATCAGTCATTCCCCCTCAACCTTGAGACATGCAGCTTTATTCACATTTTTGTCTTTTTCCCTCTCAATAGCAGCAGGGTGTCCTCTACAGCTACTGCCTCTGTTGTATTACTGTCGCTTTGATCCTTTCCCCCACCTGAATTCTACCTCCTCTATGCTAGCATTTCTATACTTACTAAAATGCTGTTCTTTAAAATATCAATTATTTCTTTAAAATCCTACGTTCTTAATTTTTCATATTGTATACAATTCTGTCTTCATATGACGTGGCCTGGGGCTAGATTGGCGTTTTGCCCCAATTCCAATCATTGATATAAGATGAACCAGTCGCTTCTAGTGTAGGTGGGCAAAGGTACTCATTTTGACCTTGGAGATTATAGCCATCCATGTAGTTGAAATGGTATAAAGGGGTAAATCTCTAGTCTAGTCAAGGCATTTATTAAACTCCGCTGTAGGGTTCCCTATGCGGTGTCTTGCTGATGCATTAAACATTTACTTTCAAACTGAGCATATTTCTTACCTCACTGTAGGCTTTGATGGATAAACTGGACTTTTCCTGCATCACAAATCACTCTCACTAGCTGAGGTTCAGCAGGCCCAATTATAGCTTCATACCTGTGCAGCTGGAGTACCTTTAAATGGATTTACATTGGGGTCACTTGAGGTAATGGAGGCTTCAGAGGTGTATTGCAGGGTTGTATGTGGCCTGCAGAACTTCTGCTGGTGTTCATGGTTCATCGGCCAGTTTAGCTGTTGAAACACAGGCCTTATCATGGTTGCCAGCTCAAAAAAAAAGAGTCCATTTAAATTGATGTGACAGTAGGTTTAAGAACCCTATTCTAATATGTCACTTCTCGGGTAAAAATGCAGCCATGTGTATTGAAAGTTTAATTCCAGTTTAAGTTTGTTAAGGAGCATTTATAAAAGCCTCTAATTACATCCAACCCTTAATTTTACTGGATTAATGAACTTTTTGTGCTTCCTCAGTTCCAAGTTAAAAGAATGTTATGCTTGCAAATTAAGCAGTCAAAAATTGGGAAATCCCAGAATTAAGGTTGCCATTGTAATCTTACTTTGGTCCCCTTGTATGTAGGCATTGGCTGTTTTTAATTAAATGACCAGTTCCTAAATTTTCTATATGCCCCCCCATCCAGGACATTCTACCCAATTGAATGTCACCCTGGAAATTTGGTTGGATTCTTTCCCTGCCTCTCTGCTTCAAAATTTTTGTATAAGGCTGGACAAGTCCCTAAATCCATGGAAAAAAATAAATAATGTTTGTAGTAGGCCTAGGATTTAGATGGTGGGCTGTAAATAAAGCCAAAGCTGCACCCTGAGAAATTAATAGAATTAATGGAAATATTGGAATAGCCACCTATAGAGTGACCACTGTCTGTCCATCCTGTGCACTGAATGTGGCAGGGATCCTGTGGCAAAAACAATGTGATCATGTAAGTGAAGTCACTGTCATAATAGGGACAAAAAAGGGGATGAAATAAAGATGGAACAACCTTAATTGTGGGATTTCTTAACTTGACTTTGCATTCCTGATGCTACTTTAGCATAGGTTTATGTAATTATATGGAAGGGGAGAAGGCCTTTCTGAGGAATCAGTAGCACTCTACATATATGCTGTGTACAACAAGCACAAATGCTTCCAAGCATCTCTTCTACAGTAGTATTGCTGCCTTTCTTTTTTTCTTCATCCATCCATCAAACACCAATCTATAGTGGGACTGCAGAGGTGTTAAGAGGCCACTCTACATTGAGTGGCCCCTTAGGATATACATTAACTGATTATGCTAACCAATCTGTTCCACCTTGCATTTAGCTGACCTATGGAATACCTTTCCCAGACCTGAAGAAGAGCTCTGTGGCTCAAAAGCTTGCCTCTCTCACCATGATAAGTTGGTCCAATACCTCATCGACCTTGCCTCCCCAGTGATTAGTTTGTGATGTTGGAGAGTTGCTAGAGGGGATTTTGTGTATTACACCTGTAGTATATGCAGGCTCCAATTTTGTACATCATAGCCATTTGGAATTTCACAACAACAGTATAAATAAACCTCTCATTCTACTCCAGCCCCACAGGCCCCTGCCACTGGAGCTAAAAGAGAATCTCTGGTATCATTGAATGGCCAAGGAGACACAGGAGGCTCTTGATTTCATTGAGCAGATGGCAGTAGTACACTTATAGTTCTACAGCAGCTTTCATCCAAGATTTCAAAGCACTCTGCAGACATCAATTCTCACCCCATCACTGCAAGCATTATCTTCCTTAGTACACAGATGGGAAAACTGAATAAGAGTGATGTTAAGTAACCTGATTGGGGGGAGGGGAGACGGGGAGAGAATGTACAAGGTGAATCTGAGATAAGGCCAGGATTGTAGAACTGTACATAGAAATGTAGAATTGGAAGGGACCTTGAGAGGTCATCTAGTCCATTTCCTTGCATTGAGGCAGGACCAAGTAAACACAGACGATCCCTGGCCAACCTGTTCTTTAAAACCTCCAATGGCAGGGATTCCACAAATGCTGACTGAATTTTGTGGATGAATTGGAGCACACCAGTAATTGGACAAGAGCATTCCACTCTAAGTAAAGTTTATTGAATGCCTAATTAAGCAATTATTAACCATTAACAGCACTCTAGCTTATGCAGTCCAGCAGCAAAGTCCAACAAACGGAGCTGGCCAAGCACCGGAATGAGTCCTCGGGATCTGCGTCAATGGATCTTGATGTTGGCCTGTGAGAGTCTCAGACGTCCCACAGAGTGCCAAACTTCTCCTCACAGACTGTCTTTTATACTCTGCTGTGTTGTCTTAGCAACCACACTGTTTGTGCACTTTTCCTATATTCTCTGGAACCTTCTATTTCTTGCTTACTATGTTCTTGCACCCTTCCTAACCTAGTTCTAACCAGTCTCAGACAGTTTTAACATGAGCTTCTGTAACCTAGCCTGCCCTCCTCCCCAAGTTCCATGCCCTCCTCCCCAAGTTCCATATCCTCCTCACCCAGGCCCCCAAGAATACAGGGGCGAGGCTCCGGGCACCCAGCCAATCCACTCCAGAGGATGGCCAAAGCAACAGAAGGCTGTCATTCAAACAGTTTTGATTTGTAGTGTGGCTACAATACGCAATGTGGCCTTGTGTTTCCCTCCTTCCCCACCCCATCCCACCCAGGCTACCTTGTCAGTTATCTCACTTTTTAAAAAATTAATAAAGAATGCATGGTTTCAGAACAATAGTTACTTTATTTCCTTTGCCAGCTGTGATTGAAGTGGGGAGGATGGTTGGCTTACAAGGAATTAAAATCAACAAAGGGGGAGGGTTTGCATCAAGGAGAAACACACAACTCTCACACGGTAGGTTGGCCAGTTATGAAACTGGTTTTCAAAGCCTCTCTGATGCGCAGCACACTTAGCTGTGCTATTCTAATCGCCCTGGTGTCTGGCTGCTCAAAATTGGCCACCAGGCGAT